GTCTGAATGCATGGTCAAGAGGGAGGAATTGTCGATGTTTGTCAAACAAGGAATACTTGCCACCCTTCTTCAACCAAATAAACTTCAGAGCTGTCTTGCATACTGGGCATGGGAACTTGTCGTGAACACACCAGCCACAGAATATTCCATATGCTAGGAAGTCATGCAGGGAGTAGTGGTACCAAACATGCATCTTGAAGCTTCTCTTTGTAGCTCGGTCGTATGTCCATACCCCTTCGTCCCAAGCATTGAGCAATTCATCAATCACAGGCTCCATGAACACACCCATACTATTCTCCGGGTGTTCAGGAATTATCAATGACAAGAATATGTTTTGTTGTTGAAAGATGACGCCGGGGGGGGGGAGATTGAGCGGGATAACGAACACAGGCCAACAAGTGTATGGGGCAGCCATCATTCCATAAGGATTGAACCCATCTGTTGCCAGCGCAACACGGACATTATGGGCCTCTAGAGCTTTCTCACGATGAATGTCATCAAAATGTTTCCATGATTCACCATCGGAAGGATGTACCATCTTATCTAGATTGTATCGATGTCCATTTTTGTGCCATGTCATCTGTTTCGCGGACTCCTCGGTCATGTATAGCCGTTGGATCCTTGGTACGAACGGAAGGTACCGTAGGATTTTCACGGGGATGTCAAGCTGCCTCTTGAGACCATCACCATAGTCTATCTTAAGGAACCTAGAGGATTTACACTTTGGACAGTGCTTAGCATCCGCGTGTTCGTTCCTAAATAAGATGCACCCCTTTGGACAAGCATGTATCTGCTCATATGGCATCTTAAGTACACGGAGGAGTCTCCGCGACTCGTACATGTTCCTTGGCAGAATGTGACCTTCCAGAAGCAAAGTGCCAAAAACTGTCAGCATAGCATCGAAGGCGTCTCGACTCAGGTGGCACTGGGACTTGAAAGCCATAAGGCGTCCAATGGCATCTAGTTGAGACACCTTTGTCTGGCCGTGAAGGGGTTTCTATGCCGCAGACAACATGTCATAATACGCCTTTGCGGTTGCATCTGGCTCCTCATCCCTACATCCTTCACCGAAGTGTGCTTCATGATAGTCACCTAACATGTCTCCTACCCCGCCGTCAGCATCAATATCCTCGATGCGTTGTCTCACGACCTCGTCTCTCCTACGTCCTTCACCATGGAGGGTCCACCGGGTATAGTCTGCCATAAATCCATACTTGCCAAGATGTTTACCCATGTCCACCTTTGTTTGTTTATGCCTGTTCTCACATTCGCTGCAGGGACACCAAACTTTATCCGTTTCTTTAGCCTCCCGAAATGCTGCTTCCAAGAAAGCATTGGTCTTCTTCATCCATTCATCAGTCCAGTCTCCATAACCCCTTCAACCAGTGTACATCCACTCACGGTCATCCATCCTTTACCACATACACGAGTAATGTAAGAATCCATTGCATCTACACGAGGATCCTACTATCTAATAGGTGAAGATAGGTCCTAATCCCACCCGAGGATGCGTAGATGAGGTTAGTTTCCATGCTCTACTCCTATCCAAGACAGAATTTCAGCAGCACCTCCCCGCTCTTCTCCAAATACACGTCCCGGCAGTGAGATTGTGTATCTGGAGAAAAATAGGGAGATGATGTCGAAACTCTGTCTCGGATCGGAGTAGACCATGAAAACTAACCCCATTTACGCATCCTCGGGCTGTCCAAAAAATGTGGACAATTCGAAACGCATACGGTTATATATATGCAAAGATCTGCATACTTCCAACCGTATCCCTTTCGAACGGGAGACACCTAACTTGGTTATGTGATCTACGAACATGATACGGAAAGAGGGGTTATACCTTGGGTGGCGGTGGAGTCAGGCTAGCGGGGCCGTGGCGGGTCGGTGCAGTGGCGAGGCAACGCGGTGCAGGCAGACCCGCAGTGGCGAGGAATACGATCGGGGTCGCCGAGGTATTCCGGCTCGGCTCCGACGGGCTCTTCTCTGCAAAAAAAAGAACATACCGGCTTAATTGAAAATTTTGACAGAACCTCCCCTACACGGTGAGGTTTCTAAAACCTGCAAAAACGTACGGCACGATGGCCGGCCGATAACCACATATGCATATGCATTGGATTCACATTCATATAAACATATATAATCACAAAGCAAATACTGTAGTTTGCAAACAAAGCAGGGATCTGCTTCCTGCGTTGCCAAATATACTAGTACTAGTAATATATATACACACACTCACTGCACGCACAGCCAAAAGTAACAAGTGATGACGACGTTTTATTTGGACATTGCCAAAATACTAATACTCATCACTGCAGCCGGCCGCCACAAATAACAAGCAAGTGATCGCAAAAGGATTTATGCTAATGGCAGCTAGCTTTTCTCAGTATGCATGTATATATTAGGCTAGCTAACTAGCCACTACAAGCTCCAAGCTGGCCAGCCGGCCGAAGAGCACGCACGCGCCTATATATACACTACGGGACTCAGTGAATTTGCCGAGTGCCAGGGGCACTCGGCAAAGCCCAATTTACACTCGGCAAAGGCTTTGTCGAGTGCTGCACTCGGCAAAGAGCACTCGGCAAAAAAAGAGTCGGCAAAGACGTCTTTGCCGAGTGTCTTTTATCGGGCACTCGGCAAAGCCTTGGCCGAGCGCCGACACTCGGCAAAGTTGGAACCGAAAAAAATAGGAATTTTTACCCAAAAAAAATGGAATTTTTTTTTAATTGGTGGAGGCCCCCACCGGTCAGCGCCCATCCATCTCCGGCTTTTTCGCGTAAATTTCACGGCTACGCGGCCGACGGGATTCGAACCCAAGACCTCTCGCTGCGCACAAACCTCCTCTACCACTACACCACACTGTCACTTGTGTCTAGATTCCGTTTTAGTTCCCAATATATTATACTAAACCGAGTGTAAATTGCTTATTTGAGGCCCTAAATGAATTCAAATCAAAAAGTGGTCAACTACAAAGTTTCATAACTTTTTGAGATATACAATTTTCATTTAGTAAGTTTTTCCATCCGAGGTCGTTTGAAAATTTTGAATTTTAAATTTGAGAGATTCAAACGTAGTTTTGCATGATAAGATGATTTCAAATCAAAAAGTTGTCAACTACATAGTTTCATAACTTTTGGAGATCTACAATTTTCATTTAGGAAGTTTTTTCATCCGAGGTCGTTTGAAAAATTCAAATTTTCAAATTTTCAAATTCAAACGTCGTTTTTGCATGAAAAATGATTTCAAATCAAAATGTTGCCGACTACAAAATTTCATAACTTCTCAAGATCTACAAAGTTTATTTTGGTCATTTGTTCATCCGACATAGTGGTAGTAACATTGTTCACAAATCATATATATCTCTCTTCTATTTTCATGAAATTAATATGAGAGATGTATATTTTATGAACAACGTTATTGTCGCTTTGTCAAATAAAGAAATGACCAAAATAAACTTTGTAGATCTTGAGAAGTTATACAACTTTGTAGTTGAAAAGTTTTTCATTTGAATTCATTTAGGGCCTCAAAAATTGATTCGAAAAACTGATTTGCCGAGGGCCAAAAAAATACACACGGCAAAATACCTGTTTGCCGAGTGCCAAAACATAGGCACTCGGCAAAATACGGCTTTGCCGAGTGCTAGAAAAAAAGCACTCGGCAAACTGAGAGTAAATTGCTTGTTTGAGGCCCTAAATGAATTCAAATCAAAAAGTGGTCAACTATAAAGTTTCATAACTTTTTGAGATCTACAATTTTCATTTAGTAAGTTTTTCCATCCGAGGTCATTTGAAAATTTTGAATTTTAAATTTTAGAGATTCAAACATAGTTTTGCATGATAAGATGATTTCAAATCAAAAAGTTGTCAACTACATAGTTTCATAACTTTTGGAGATCTACAATTTTCATTTAGGAAGTTTTTTCATCCGAGGTCGTTTGAAAAATTCAAATTTTCAAATTTTCAAATTCAAACGTCGTTTTTGCATGACAAGATGATTTCAAATCAAAATGTTGCCAACTACAAAATTTCATAACTTATCAAGATCTACAAAGTTTATTTTGGTCATTTGTTCATCCGACATAGTGGTAGTAACATTGTTCACAAATCTTATATATGTATCTTCTACTTTCATGAAACTAATATGAGAGATGTAAATTTTATGAACAACGTTATTGTCGCTTTGTCAAATGAAGAAATGACCAAAATAAACTTTGTAGATCTTGAGAAGTTATACAACTTTGTAGTTGAAAAGTTTTCATTTGAATTAATTTAGGGCCTCAAAAATTGCTTGAAAAAATGATTTGCCGAGGCAAAAAAAAAAATGCACATGGCAAAAAGCTTCTTTGCCGAAAGTGCCAAAACAAAGGCACTCGGCAAAATACATCTTTGCCGAGTGCCAGAAAAAAACACTCGGCAAAGACGTATTTTGCCGTGTGTTTTTGTTTGCCGAGTGTATTTTATTTGGCACTCGGCAAACACGGTCTTTGCCGAGTGCCCGATAAAATACACTCGGCAAAGCCTCGGCACTCGGCAAATCGCCGGTTTCCGGTAGTGATATAATCCTCACACATATCTTTTGTCGTCTCAAGTTGGATTATATATTAATCATATGCATGATTAGTTTCAGCATGGGCCATCACTGTGTGATCGATGTACTCCATCATTCGACAACCAACCTGGAGATTAAAAAAGGTATATATATATATATATATATATATATATATATATATATATATATATATATATATATATATATATATATAATGGCTAGCTAGCTTGGTAATTTTGTACGTAGTACTACGCATTAGACCATTTCTATGAGATACATTAGCTACATGCGCTAGCTCTGGTGACAAATGGCTGTCAATTCTGAATGCCAAATTACTATGCTTTCTGCACATTTCAATCTTTGCTCGTCTTTCAGGTGCAGCAGGCCTTTGAGAAGTAGCTAGCTATAGTTTCAAGGCGCCTGGCAAAGACTGGCTTTAGAGCAGCAGGATGTACAGGGCTAAGAGGGCTGCTTCGCTCAAAGCAAAGCGCCGCGTTGGCAAGTATGAGCTCGGACGCACCATTGGGGAAGGAACATTTGCAAAGGTCCGGATCGCCAAGAACATGGAGAACTGGGATCATGTTGCTATCAAAATTCTTGACAAGGCAAAGGTTCACAAGAACAAACTAGCTGAACAGGTGAAGTGTTAAGACTCTGCATTCTATTTCCATAGATTTTCACTGCACGATTCAAAAAAAGTTATTTACAGTGAATTCCCTTCTGTTTGCGATATATGTCTAGTGAGAAAAAAGATAATTACTGATCCCACCCTCTCAACTGTATGGCAGATTAGGAGGGAAATCTGTACAATGAAGTTAGTACAGCATCCCAATGTTGTTCGCCTGTATGAGGTAATAAAGCTTAAACTTTAAATGTAAAAATATATTATTTTTTCAGTATTACGTTTCTTGCATTGGAATGGGATGCACATCCAGGTCTACAGTTCATAACCATTTATTTGCATTGTTTTTGTTCCTTTTTTATGACAGGTGATGGGAAGTAAAACAAGGGTTTACATTGTGCTGGAGTTTGTTATGGGTGGAGAGCTCCATGATATCATTGTAAGCACTGTTGTATCATTGCCAATGCTTCCTCTGTCATTTGACCTTATTCTTTTCTCATCAATGATAATTTATATAGCATGCTAGTTGCTAGCTGCTTTTCCAGCCTAAACTTTGCATGAAGAGACATTTAACATTCCATGCTTTATATATATAGGACGTTTGCTTCTTTTCTCTACATGACAGTTTGTGATTCACTGTCCAAATTCACAATCAGGCCACAAGTGGAAGATTGAAGGAGGAGGAAGCACGTAGATACTTTCAGCAGTTGATCAATGCTGTAGACTATTGCCACAGTAGGGGTGTATACCACAGAGACTTGAAGGTGCAGTATTGTTCATCCTTGATTCTGCTCTTTGTTTGTATCATCAGTTATGATCAAGGAAATAGTATGAAACTTAAATGTTGATATTTCTCGTATGCAGCTAGAGAATCTGTTACTTGATGTTGCTGGAAACCTCAAGATTTCAGATTTCGGGTTAAGTGCTTTATCAGACCAAGTGAAGGTACTATCAGACAAGATACTACAGAAATTATTGTGTTTTATTTCTTTCTGTTTCTTTCTTTCTTTCTTTTGGTTTCACTGCATTTCACTAATTTACACCATAATCTTTAACTAATTCAATGCTAGCAGAATGATGGATTGCAGCATACTACATGTGGAACACCTAACTATGTTGCTCCAGAGGTGATATTTTTTTGTACATCTCTTCTTCTTCTTTTTGTTTTAACCAGAAATAAGTTTGCCTAATACAGATTGATATCCAATATGTAGGTTATTGATGACATGGGATTACCTAGGTGGCGCAGGAGGCCGGGCGCCGGAGCCTTCGTCGTCGGCGCGCTGGGGAGGGCGCCGGGTGCGGGACGCCTTGGGGCCAGGCCAGGAGGAGGCTGCGTCGTCGTCGTGTGATGTGGGAGGCGCGCGCCAAAAGGGCGAGTCGAGTCCAAGCCGGCCGGCGAAGATGCGGCGAGCGGCGTGGGCGGGCGGTAGTGGCATGGTGGCAGGCGCTGGCGTGGCGCGGCGCGGCGGGTGGCGTCGGAAGAGGCGTGACGGGCGCGAGATGATGATGGGTGGGGCGGGGCTGGGGCAGGGCGCTGAGGGAGCGAGGGGACGGGTGAGGGCGGGGGGCGGTGAGGCAGGGGCGTGCATGAGTGAGTCTCGGCCATGCCAGTTAAGTTTTGGGTCAGGCCTTTGCCGAGTGTCCGCGATCCAGCACTAGGCAAAGCTGGGATTTTTTTTAAAAAACATTAAACATCTTTGCCGAGAGTCAAACCGATAAGGCACTCGGCAAAGACTATACTTTGCCGAGTGCTAACCCTAGCACACTCGGCAAAGGTATTTTTTTTAAAAAAATCTTTCTATTTCCTTTCCCTTTTCCTTAACCGTTTTTTCCAAATTTGTTCCAATACACTTTGAAAATACCTTGTCAAATTCACTCAACAATGCAAATTTGATGCTTCAGCGAAAAATAGACCATGATTTCATGTAGTTATAGCTCAAATTCCATTTATATAATTGCAATTAAAAATTAACAATTATCAAATGGATCCAAAAAATCACTAAAATTTAACATGACACGATATTGATGTCTATTGGCTATACAAAAAGTTTCGGAGTCAAACCACAACTCGAGCGTCACTTTCACTACAAATCTTACCAGATCATTCTCAACAATCATGAAACTTCTTCGGAGATGTTTCGGTTTGTAAGCAATGTACGGGACAACTTATGCGACACCTTCTCAATTTTTTACCACAGCCTCCACATATGATATCATGACATCTTATCAAATTTCATGATTTTCGGACTTCCTTTGCTTTTTATTGAATTTAAAAACCATTCAACCACACGCTCGGGGTTGTGTTTCTGAAATAAGATGTTCGAAAACCCTTATAATCTTATAGGTAAGGCCTCAAACTGGGTTGAATAACATGAATATCAATTTTATACTCATTTTTTCCAAATATTTGAATCACTTGCAGTTCAAATTTAACTTAATTCAAAAAATTGCTTGAAATGCAATTAATTAGTTAAATATAGCAAATAAATTCCAAAATACACCAAACTTAAGCATGGAGTACCACATGTGGTGTGTGGAGAGGTGAAAATTTTTGAAGTGCAGGAGCCAAAAAAAATTATACTTTGCCGAGTGTCTGCTTTTGACACTCGGCAAAGAGCCTCTTTGCCGAGTGTTGCCTTTGTACACTCGGCAAAGAGCTAACGGCGGCAGGCTGGTTTAACGGCGGGCCAAAATTTGCCGAGTGTGAGACGTTGACACTCGGCAAAGAAAGTCTTTGCCGAGTGTTACCTCTGAGCACTCAGCAAAGAGGACATCTTTGCCGAGTGTCGACCCTGAGCACTCGGCAAAGAGCAGCTTTGCCGAGGGTCGTGTCTTTGTCGAGTGTTCGAGTTTGGGCACTCGGCAAAGACATCCTTTGCCGAGTGCCCGATATAAAATACTCGGCAAAGTTCTTGGCACTAGGCAAAGCTTGCGATTCCGGTAGTGAGAGAAAGGAGACAGTAATATTGTCACTCATCTCATGGCAGTCCCCAAATGCAAGAGGACGAGGAATGTACATCTGACATGTACTTTTTTGCTGATACTTGTGGTCATTTGTTCAACCTCTTCATCATGCCAAGGCATATATGTATATGTATATGGAGATCATTACTTCTACTGCACATTGTTACATATTACTCCCTCAGTTGCACATAATAGTTTACTTTGGCTTTGTGCTAAGTCAAACTATTAACTTTGACCAAGTTCAAATAACTATACCATCGAAAAATATGTTGATTTGATATTTTAGATGTTGGTACATCTTTTTGTAAACATGGTAAAATTAGAGAAATTTGAGGAAACCATAATTAATTGAAACACAGGGAATATAAATCAACATATTTTGACTATTTTGTATTGGTTGTTTCATGTGTAGGCCAAGGCCAGGCCCAGGCACGCCGCCCTCATCCCCACAGGCCTAGGCCACCACCACGGCCACGTATAACACCACCACGCAGTTTGTTAGAGATGTCGCACCATCATCATCACAGGTCGCCTCCGCCTCCGCCAGTGCCGTCATCCCCAGCACGCAGTTTGTCTGAGGTATCACACAATCATCACCACAAGTCACCACCACCGCCGGCGGTGTCGTTGCAAACACCACTCAATTTGTCTAAGGTGGCGCACCACCATCACCACAGTTCGCCACCACCGCCACCAGTGCCTTCATCACCACCACGCAGCTTGTTCGAGACATCACACCATCATCACCACAGGTCACCACCTCCCCCACTAGTGGCATCGTCGTCACCACCACGCCGTTTGTCTGAGACGTCGCACCATCATCACCATTGGTCACCTCTGCCACCGCCATCAGTGCTGTCGTCGCAACCACATAGTTTGTCCAAGACGTTGCCTCCAATGGCAAAGCAAAAGCCCGATACGTGCTACCCCTACAATAACAGATTCTGTCTGACTTATGACTGCCAGAACATGTGCGAGGCAAACGGCTTTAAACGCAAGAAAAGCTACTGTATTGAGAGACCGGATGCTAAATGGGACTGCTGCTGCAAACAATAAGCAGTGTAACTCATGCATCTGTTTGATGTGAACTCAATAAGATGATTCTTTTTGTTGCCTACAAGCTGCTGTATTTCATTCCTATATACTGTACTGTACACAAACAAGCCGGAAAAGGAAAACATATTCGATGTGGTAATATAAATATAACCAATAGGGGCGTGACAGCTAATGCCGTGAGTGGACCGGTCAATTTCCAAAACTGAACAGGCAATGGTGCTGGAAACTGGCCGGCATATGCAACACACAACCACAAATGGTTGCTTTCTACGGTTGTAAATTAAAAACAATGAATACACATGTAGCAAGAAATGCGTAGTGTGCCACGCTTTAGATAGAGGAGAGGATGCTCTGGAGTATATCAACACGGTTTTGATCGTCTAATACAGCAGCTATGGAGACTGGATGCTGAACCCTTTTTGATGTCGTTGAGAAATATCCTCCATAGACGACTGGTTCACACAATATCTCTGCTTGAGAAAGAAAATAAAATATGGACAGTACTGACACATGCAGGCAGCACCATACAAGCATATTACGTGGCATCCACCACCACCAGCATGCAAACTTGCCACCGTAACTTGCCTTTTCCGTTTCTTTTCTCTTCTCAATCTTGCACACAATCAAGCCCTAGCTACTCCGTGCTGCACTAGCTACTGCTACACCGTACCAGCATCATTGCCCTTTGCCCACACGGCCACACCTGAGGCTCCAGCAAATGAAGATTGGCCACCACGCTCAGCCGTGACCAATCAGGTGACGAGTCGTGCTCCCGCACGTACCTACCAGGCCGGCCATGAACCTATGAGCATGTATGTTATTGCTCTGGGCTCCAGTTCTCGTGCTGTACCAATCTTCCTCGCTGCGATTCCCCCTCCTCCATGTACCATGTGCCATCCAGATGCGCTACACCGATTTAATTACGGGCAAACACCGCACCACCGCACGTACCAACTCACGTGCATCCGTGTTGTCCTGAAGACTTCGCCCACGCGTCGCAAACCTGTAGCTGCTTCCTCGGCGACAATATCCGGCTAGAAATCTAGCCGCCATCAACCCTGCCGTCGACCCGCCATGACCGTATGCGTGCTGTCAATGCATCCCGGTCACAACTATGCTCCACCTTGCATCGTATCCGCTTCGTACCACCAGTATGCTGCAATGACGCCTTATATATATGCATAATCCTCAAGCCTTTAGATGATCTTCCGCAGAGCCTCCAGATCTAATCTAACTATAGCTCTAGATATCAATTGTTAGAAATTAGCCTCCACAGCGCCAAATTGTCTGCAAATCTCCATGCGAAAGCATCGTTTAGATCTACCGAGATGAACATGATGCAAGATCGCAGACGACACTAGAGGCATGATATTTGTTAACGAGGTTCAGCCAAAGCCTACATCCCTGGGGCATGACTATGGGCACTTCTACCAATACCAGCAACACTGGTCGCTCTAGGATCGCAGCAACGTTTCGCCGCCCTCACGCGAACTTGTCACTATGTAGTCATGGTTACAACAAAAGCCCTCCTCTCATATTTATAAGGAGGCCAGGTTAGACAGTCCAACTCCAACTCTACCCTATACTGCCAAATACTACTCAGAGTCCTAGCATAACCAAACCCGTACATAATATTCGACACATATCTAAGATAGATAATGGTCATAACATTGTCCAACAAAACTAACACAAGAAAGAGTAACAAGTAAGAACCAAATAACCCTAAAAAGAGCAAAAACAGATAGGTATTTTTTAAAAAATGTGTGTCAAATGAGTTAATTCTATTTTTTATATGTAACCATACTTTTACTCTTTTTTGGAAAAATAAATGTACAAGCAAAGGTTGAGGGACAAGATGTCCATTTGAATAGTTTGATGGCTAAAGATACCCAATATGAGTTTGATGCCGAAAATCATACTCAAGCAATAGTACAATGGCAGAAAAAAGGCTCCCTCCATATATTCATATATTTATATGTATGCATATTTATTATGGATCTCTACGTATACTTATGTATGTAAAGACATGTGCGCACAAAAGATTTTACGAGGTAGGAGGCCAAGATTAATGGAGGGGGGGCACAATCGTCACCAGGCCTCGCTGCTAAGCGGCCGCCTCCGTTAATGGTTAACAGAGGCATCTAGTATAAGGCAACAGCCTCCATTAATAGTCCTTTAATGGTGGCGGACGCCTTATGGCAAATGCCTCTGTTAATATATTAACCGAGGTGACCATCCTAAGCAGATCGCCTCCGTTAATAGTACATTAACGTAGGTAGACTCCTTAAAAAGGATGCCTCTGCTAATCGGTTAACGGAGGTGGCGCTGC